TCACTGCAGCATCATCTTCAAGCAGAGGCTGGCACAGAGGCTGCAGAACTCACCAGCTCTTGACACTTCAGCTTCCCCAAGTAACTGTCTGCCAGGGGGATTACTTTGCACTTTGTTTTGGTTTGTAACTTGTTCTGGAATTGTAAAAATCCCATTTAGCCTTTAGCTGCAGCCAGCAACTAGTCTGAAGGGTAACGCTGTGACGGCACCGGAGTTCTCTGCTCACTGAACTACTCTCTGCCCACAGTAAGGAAGCAGGATGCTATAGCTTTGCCAAAATATTTTACTGAATGAATACAATTGCATTCAGTCTCCACAAGCCAACCTAGCAGTGCCACATGACCCCAACTGGCAAGAGGCAAGGGTTACATCTTAGTTCAATTTTAATTCAACACAGCATCAATGCTTATTTACCGCACTCCATAAAATTCATGTGAAAAAATACCTCTGGCAGATGAGTAGCCCTCTTACTCCAGAAATGCAAAAGCACAACAAATCAAGTCAGTGCACGTCTGCAGGATCACACAAGGCTGGCAGCAAGACGTGTGTTAGCGAGATTCCTGGCTGCAGTCTCCACGTGCTCTGTGGCTCTCATTGCATCTGGCAACCTTAGGGAATTCCCTCACTGCCTCTGTGCTGTGCGGGGGGACCTGCCAGTCATTGGAAGTAACTAAGGGCCTGTCTGTGTCATGTGCCAGCCAGCCAGCCATGGCAATATTGTAAAGGAGCACAGACACACGTATCCCAACCGTCCTGTAGACACTCAAATGGTTTTGAAGGAAGCACCATCTGGCCATTGCCTTTTCCAGTGCCCATGCCACTGCTACTACGCCACACGGACAGCGCTGCTGGATGAGCCGCTCAGACTCTCCCCCAGTTTAGGTGCAGCTTCATGAGTCCTGGCAGCAGAGGAGAGGAGAGGATGGACTGATAAAATCATGCCTGACAGCAGAAAGGTTCAAGCTTGTCTGCAGTGTAGGTGTTTTACCTCCACACCCTGGGATTACACACCTTGCCTGCACAGTCCGTGGTTAGTGCCTGGGAATTCTGCCCTGGCCAAGAGCCACCAGACCCCTCTGGTCATGACTGTAGTGCTCCTTGAGGTTATGGTCTTTGTTTTCTCACTGGAGGAACAACATCTGGGTACATCCAGACCCTCCCTGGCCCAGTGGAAGACTGTTTCAAGCCTATGCATCTACAGACAGCCCAAGCGTGAGGACCCACCATGGCCCTGCAAACAACCATGACTAGCATCAAAGTTTACTTGACAGAGCAAATGCAGTTGGCCACAGACCAGTCACAGGACAGCCTATTTAGTATTGAGACAGTGATAAAAACTTCTCCGCCAGACAAACCTGGAGCCAGGGGGCTGGAAGCAAAGTTGTCACGATGGGCTGGAATTTGTGGAAGCTCTGGACCAGTTGCCATCCATTGCACCTCTGCCAAACCTCATGTCTGCCTGCAGCACACAGGCCTTCTCTTATCCCAGTGGGGAGACAGGGCAGGTCCGGCCTGGGTTTTACTGCCAGGTCCTTGGCTGCAGAAAGAGCAGGACATGAGATGGGAAACCAGGATCAGAACCTGGGGTTGTGCGGGTGCTGGTGGGTGGAGGTGGGCCTGCATGGACCTGTCTTGCCAAGCAACCCCCCAGCAGGACAGTCTGCCTGGCCCTGCCCTGGCGCTACCCCAGCTGCAGGAGGAAAATGAGGGCTTGTCCTCACCTCCCAGCACTCCTGGTTCTGCTTCTGTGCTCCTGCAGTGACCCTGGCCTTCATATGAGGACCATCTCTCCCACTGCTGACTGGGAAGGAGATGGCAAGGGGAAGATCTCCGCCCTTGGCAGGAGGGGCATTTCTGAGATAATCGCAAGAGAAAAAGAAACAAGACTGCTCTTCTTCACTTCAGGGTTTAACACACACTCCAAATGAGAAGAGGACAGGCAATCTGGTTGTCTGCACTTTCACATGCAGCATATTACAACAAACCTTCCAGAGCGGTTATTGACAGCTCCCCACAGCTACAACCTGGCTCTTGTCTTGTTGAGTCTGCTGCCAAGCATGTGAAGCTGTTGCTGATCAGGCGCAGCCTCACGAGCTGATTGGACTCTGGCTCCTTAGGTCCTCCTTCCCTGGACACATCCTAAGGAAACTGAAAGATGAGATTTGTCAGAGCTCAGCTCATTCCAGTCCTGAGCTTGCCCTGCAACAACAGACTTTAAAGAACAGGTGACATCAGTGCTGACAGTGTGGCCTTGCTGCCCCAGGACCCCTTTGCCATTTGGCCAGCATTTCCGCGCCCATCCCAATGGGAGAGACCCAAGATGCTATCTCCTGTGAGGCTACTGGGAGTGGACCAGCTCTCCCAGCCCTCCACATCCTTGCTACATCGTGTCACTGCTCCCAACCTAAAGAAGTGAGGAACACATACCATACCGAGTGTGAGCAGCACAAGTGCATCGCGTTGAGCAGAGAGATTTATCGAGGGTTGCGTCAGCACCAGGGCTCGCTGCATCATTTCCCACATGGCGCAGGCAGGCGCTGGGAGCACAGGGAGCTGCTCCCCAGGGACGGCTTCATTGTGTGCCCTCAAGCTGGGAGCCATGGAAGGGAAGGAGTGCAGGAAGCCAAACTGTGTCACCGTAAATCCTGTCACGCCTAACGATGTTTTCTCAAGCATGTTTTCCTGACTTCCCTCCCGAGAGATCAAACCTAAAAGATGGTTGTGCTTGATCTATGGGGAGCCCACAAACAAAATGTTTCCCAAGAAATAAACACGTTGCAGTCTGACCGTGCTCATTGTTATAAAAGAATGTTTTATTTCACTTTTTCCTGGGTGCACTATATTGCAATGTAACACTAGGCAGATCTATTGACAAATTCAGATTCTTGGTACAGAATTAAGGTGTTTGTCCATTTGGTCAAATCTCAGAGTTTTTCCTTGGCATTCTTACAGGACCTGTCACCACTCAACACAAGAAGTGGAAGTGCCAGAACTGCAATATGAGACTTGGAGCGGGTGCTTCACAATCACAATTTGCAGAAGCTGCTGAATTGGCTAGATGCACAAGGTCAGCATGATATCCATCCTAACTGTGACAAAGGGGGAAGTGCACACTGTCCAATTTTGATCTCAAAGTAGGTTTGTTTTTCAGGCTTAATGCACAATTAAGATTGTCTTCTTATTTTTGAGGCATGCTGTCACCTCTGCTTCTGCTACCAAGGAAGACTTGCATTATTTTAAAGCAATAATGTTAAATGACTCTCTTATATTCTGGCCATTGTATTAGTTATCATTAGGCACCTGATTAGTGTAATTAATTATATGAACTCATACAAACCATGCCTGATTATCCACAAAAAGTCCATCCATTCCAAGCCAAATACCATAGTTCACAGAAAAGTCTTCTAGTACGCAATTGCACATGAATATACATACGAGCAGTACATGAATCACTGAGTAAATATGGCACTTTTATATGTTTTCCAGGAGGTCATACAGAATTAGGAAACAATCTTCTCTGTGCTGACACACTTCTAAAATACTGTAATATAGTTTAGGAAAATGCACCCCACAGACTAGATAGTAAGTATAGAAAAGTCAGCAGTGCAGCTACCTGAGTTTGTTTCAATCAGTTTAACAGTGATCTGATATTTTTTTCATTCACCACAAGCCTGAGGGCTGTCTACCCACGAAAGGCTGCCACCTGATTCTGTTACAGACACAGCACACGGCTCTCCAAGTGCTGAGCTGACCTAGCATCTCCAGAGCGACCCATCCAACTGCTCCAGGCACAGACCCTGGCTGCAGCCCCGGGCCCTTGCCATCGATCCTTCAGAGAGCTGAGCCTGCAGCAAATGTGTCCTTTTCTTTTTTCTTTTTCTTTTTTTTTTTTTTTTCTTACTGGCTTTGTTTTCTGCTGGCTCAGTATGTTGATTTGTCCTGTGGAGGAATCAGACAAGCACCAGAGCCGTAAAGGTACGAGCGAAGCAGTCAGATGCTGTGGAATGGGAGCAGGGGAGGAAGAAGGACACCAAGGAAATTCCTCCTCAAGGGCAGCGAGCTGTTCCATTGAATAAGCTGTTCCAGCAGACCAAACCATTGGGGAAGATACAGTTATTAGCTTGAAAGTGCTTAGGCTGGTAAGATTTATTCCTATGCAGAAAGTAATTACGGAAATACCAGCACAAGGCACTTTATACTCATGTAACTGCGTCCACATGAGGGACTGCAATGGCATAAATATAATCAGTGGCAAAGAAAACCCCCACATCCTCTATGATGTATTTAAAAACAGAGAACAGAACAAATCTCCAGCCTTCAGTTATGAGGCGTGCATAATTTCCATTCAGAAGACAGAGCGCTGCACATGGAACAACATTAGACACAAAATAAATTACAGGCTTAAAATGCGACATCTAGGAATATAAAGATAAAAAAACAACAAAACTTCAAATGTAATCCCGTATTCCAAATCTAAATAAGATAACTATACAGCTCCACCGATTACTTGGACATTTTAAACAGTTTACATTCATCAGGGACAACAGCACTTTGGTTTACATAATTAGGTTAATATGAGCAACGAAACATTTCTCTCCCTCACATTACATCAAAGTGAAACACATTTAGAATATATATATACTGCCAAGCTGCTCCAATAAGTGCATTCCATATATGACTAAGAGTAGCTCTTGCAACAGCTACATCAGTTATAGCTCTTTCATAGAACTACATCAAACCACTTGGAAAAAAATCATTTTGATTCATGAATCAAAGCCTGACCCAGCTTTGATTAATCACACAGATCTTCTCCAGAACACGCTCAAGTACAACAAATTACTCACTGAGTCTAGGGGCAAACCTACTTATTGGATTGTGCATCACACCCTGAATGAATGGGGAAATACTCATTTTGTCTCCCCACCTGTGTAAGTCTGACTCAAAACAACAATAAGCTCAAGAACTCAGAACGATGGTAGTTCAAAACACTTGACTGCAGCTAGAAAACATTTAAGAGCAACCAACCCAGCGATAGTCAAACAGTTATTTTACAGAACTTTGAACAATTTGCAACTGATGAACAGCATTGGCTCCTAGAGAAAGAAGTACTTACTCCCAGATATTCTTGCAAAGCATTTATCCAGTGCCTGCATCTGACTCAATGTGCATTGCTGGATAGGATGAAAAGATCTCCTCCCAGCCAAGCACTTTGCAATCATATGGTTATTTTTTATTAGCTTAAATTAGCTTGCGAGCAGCACGTGAGTGTTCATGGACTACGTCTGCCAAACTTGCCTAGAAGAAAGCAAGCAGCTGGATAAATAAACAACAGAACAGTTTCAGAGGACAAAGTTCCCAACTTGAAGCATAATCACTAAAGATATTATTGTCTATTAAATTATTTTAAAAAGCAGACAGACCTCCAAATGTATGACCTCTGATTTAATTACTATGTGGGAGAGGAAAACACAGCCTTCATCACTGTGCTCTGGAGGCTGAGACTTTGAAAAAGTTAATGTATTCAATGAATCCCATTTTTGCAAATCTGCAAATGTTCTTGTGTTGGGCTTGGCAATGTAATTCCAAAGCTCAAATAAGGAGCATGTTCACTGCTAAAAATAATGTTATTTCCTTGCCAGAAGGTTCACAAACTAAAGATGATTGCACTTTTTCTGAATCCCGGTCCTGCATGGTGCCAAGCATCCCTGTGGGAAGTGACTGAGAGACACAGAGGACACTCTCCCCTGCAGGACCGCACATTAAGTGGAAGATGGGTAGAGCATTTTTGAAAATAGTGTTTTATCTCCCTGGGTTGGCTTTTTCAACACTGTGAGTTCATTGCACCCCTTCCATTCACGTCAGCAGGAAATGGGCAGCTGAATCCCTTTGCACTGTTCAGAAAACCTTCAGCATGAGTCATTTTGGTAGGGACTCCTCTCTGACCTGTGCCCTTACTCCTCCGGCTCTGGAGCGGAAATCGCAGTCAGTGCCTCCTGCTCAGACAGCATGCAAACAGAGACCTAGACTACGCTTTCCAAAAGGCCCTGGAGAAGTTCTGCATATTCCCTCCGACTTATGAAAATACCTCCAGCCCTTGTATGGAAAGAACCGTATCTGCTTGCTTTGACCATCTGAGAAAACAGTGCCATAAATTAAAGGAAGGTCAACCCAGACCTTGTTAGATGTTGAACACCTTCAGCTCCCACAAAAAAAAAAGAGGGAATGAGGCATTCAGCACCTGCAGTACTACCTGTTGAAGACCTCATCCTAAGAGATTAACAGTAACCAGGAAGACAATATAATTACCTGTTACAAATTATGCAATTCAAAACATACAGTTTAAATACAATTTCCCTATTGGGATTTACCAAAGGGGAAAAAAAAAAAAAAACAACCAACAGCAGATAAAACCATTTACTTTTGCTAGTAAAAATTAAGTTACAAACACCCTTGCTGTCAGGGCAAAATAAACTTTAAAATATCTTAAAACAGTGAAAAAATACAAGAAAATTTTATTTTAAAAATATATGTACTCCTTACTCCAAATTTGTTTGTACAGAAAGGACTTTTTGAAAAGGCAAAAAAAAAAAAGATAACAAACTAAATGCATATTCAGAGTATGCACTGTCTACAGGGTATTTGGTAGAAGCGTTATTTCTGTAAAACTGAGGAAGAGGAAGCTATTTATTCAGCTTTCATTTGTTCCCTGACATCAGAAGGCAACGTTTCAAACAAAGTGTCCTCTACAGTGAAACCAGTCCGCTTCAGAGACCTACATTCACCAAGTTCTGGTGGGAGAATTTCAAAATGATTGCCTTTAATATCCAAGTGGGAGAGGAATACCAAATTACCAATTTTAGGTGAAAGGACAGACAAATTATTTTTCCCAATTTTCAGAGTCTTAAGTTTTTTGCAAAAGTATAGTTCATCTGGCACACTCTCCACTTTGTTGCAAGTAATAGAAAAGTACTGTAAACTCTGCAGAACTCCTATTTCAGGGGGAATAAAGCGAATGTCATTGTAAGACAAATCCAAATATCTGATTTTGTTGCATAGGAACAGGTGGGATGGAAGAACCTCTATTTTGTTATGGCTGAAGGAAAGCCGTTCGAGACTAGTGAGTTTCTTTATGTGCTCTGGGATGTATGTTATACTGTTGTACCACAGTTTTAGGATTGTCAGTTTTCTCAGATGTTGAAAACTTACTATTTCTTCAATGGATTTGAGGTTGTTTTCCTTTAAATCCAACTCCTGAAGACTGAGAAGGCTAAAGACTGCGTGAGGTATGCGCTCTAAATCACAGTGAACCAGTTCCAGCTGTGTCAAGTTGACCATCTTCTTCAGGTTGTTGAGCATCACTAGCTTAGTGCCGTCGTTATGGATGCACAATTTTTGCAGGTGACTTGAAACATCGACTGCAGATTGTGGGATTTTTGACAAATTACTCTTTATGTAAAGAACTTTAAGGCTTTTAAGTTCCCGAAAAGATTCCAATGTAATGTTTTTGGAAATATCATGACTTAAGGAGCCAATTAAGTAGAGTTCTTCCAGATTTCTGAGGCCATACATCCAGTGCGGAAGTTCTCTGATGTCGTCAAATTTCACACTCAGGATCTTGAGATTCTCCTTCAGAAAGGCCAAGGCAGCGCTGTGGATCTTAACAGAACACTGGTGCAGTGACAGCTCCTGGAGATTGTCCAACTGTGCAATGGTTGCTGGTATCATTACGTTATTAATGATTTCAAGTTTTAAAGACTGCAGCTCAGTAATTTCAAACACCGTGTCAGGTAGCCCAGAGAGCATGAAAAGCTGTAGCTCCAAATGGCTATGGGAGTTCATTTGTAGCCTCTGTCTTAGCTTATCTGCAGTCCACTCATTGTTTAAGTTCAGCTGTTTCAGCTTATTTTCACTGACTTCAGACAGAAAGACAGCAAACCTCTTCGAATAGAGAGGGTCATACTGATCTATCATATGAAGCATAAAAGCAAAGTCATTCTTGACATCTGGGATATCATCAATTCCTGTCTCCTGCCGGACATATTCAAAGGAATACTCTTTCAGTGAGCGATAGAACAGCCAGTATAGAGTATAAAGGCATGTGAGGCCATAGATGCTTACAAAGCACAGGTAGCAGTATGACAGTTTAGAGAATAGATGTGCCATTGTGTGATTACAGCAAAAATTCTTGTATCCTGTCATGTCTTCTATATCAACATTACAGACGACTGTAAAATTAACTTCTGAGACAAGTGCTGTGTTGTAAGCAATGATAATAAGGAATTTAATTACCTTAAGTACAGTCTGGCGAACATACATGACATAGAGTATGTCCCCCTCCTCAACATGCAGTCTAAATTTCTTCACCTTTTCGAACAGTGCTTTGGCCTGTTCACCTTCTTTCTTGTCCAGTGCTCCATGTGTTCCCTTATCCACAACCAGCTTCTCAGGGATTGATTTTAAAGACTGTGTCTTGACCAAAGTGCCTTCAGTGCTTGGTTGGGTAGTATTAGATTTGTTTATGTTGTTTTTCCTGTTATCTTTTTCTTCAGAGTCTTCTCCTGACACTTCAGATAAGGCCCTTGTTGTCCACGGAGAATCAAAACATTTCCCAAGTATTGAAATGAAGTGTTCAATTTTGGAGCTCGATCCAGGGAATTTGAACCAAAAGTTACTACACAGCATGAAGACCAGCGTGTGTATAAGGACAAGGTAAGGGAAGTACTTGGCATACCAGTGCAGGGCACGTTCGTAGCACACCTGATTAATAAAGCTGTACTGCTGAAGGTCCAAATCAGTCTTCAGTCCTTTCATTTCAACTGTAGCTGGAGGGGTTGATGGCTTGGGTGGAGGAAGAGGGGTTGTATCTGGGATTGTGCTAATTACGACTGAAGTATTAGATTGGTTCTGGCAAGGCTGGACTCGCTTTGGAAGGCATATTATCTTGTCTTGCATGACCTGAAACACACAAAAAGATATCTTTTAAACTGATGTACAAACAATGATGGCAGTATGACTGGGTAACTGCCCCTGGAGTTCCTCCAGCTGTCAGGCATTCCACCCCATAGCCTAGCTCTTAGTCCCACAGTCTGTGAGATGACTACTACTATTATCAGTCCCAACAAGATACTTGTTCTATATGCCAAGAACTAGGTCACCCCTTTTCATTGATGGTTAGCTTTCCATTATTTGGATAAGGGGGCACTGAGATAAACCAGGAAAAGGAAAAACATGAGTAATGTTTTCACAAAAGACCAGGGATCTCTTGCACTGCTCTCTCCAGAGACAGACTGTTCTTGCTGGGTATAGTCACCCTAGCAAAGTGCAACATGGTATTCATACAGCTTAGGCTTGAAAGCAGTGTGACTGCATCTGTGTGACTTTACACTCAAACAGTGATGTCTATCACATCCAAAATGGCTGACAAAGAGTCAACATGAGCACATCTGTGCTGGGACATTCTTTATCTTCAGTCTTAGTAAGGCCAGGTAGGGATACTTAGAGTTGTGTTTTATACATGTGCACATGGGCACTGCTTTATTCAGCGTCTCATATAGAGTTCTTCTATGACACTCCAGTGGGAATAAAGTACTTCTGCTCCTGAGTCCGTCTGTAACACAAAAAAGAGCAACTTCCTTAATTTAGGCTGTCCATCTACATTGGCAGTCAGGTGAGACTGCCTTAAGGGACCAATCACCTTTGGTTTAATTTGGGATAAGCCTGAGTTACTTGCCACAGTCCCCAGAGGTCTGAACTTAAAATATGAATCCATGTGACAAACCAAGGAGCCCTGTCATTTGCCCTGAATGATTAACTGGGATCATCCTGAACTAAGAACGTGCCTTCTTCTGTATTGTGGATGTACCCTTTGACATGGTGGTTGCTGAAAGCACTATGAATAGAGAGAGTATGCAGCAAGAGCTTCCAAAACAGATCCTCCTTGACAATCTGCCCCGGTGCAGGGAGACGAGACTACATGTTTCTAACAGTGACTGTCGACACTTCAGAAACTCTTACTGTTAATCTTTGCCTGTAAATGTTATTCTGATATACACCATTACTTACACCCTGGATTCATGCCTCTGGTAATAAGCTGGAATAAGTTTGAAGCGTTTCCTCACAGTGTTTTCCAGTGGGCTTCATCCAATCAAGCAGATATATTTAAAACCAAGAAGTTTTACATCATGTGCTTAAACAAACACTTTGCTGTTGATGGAAAAAAACAGCACTGTATAGGAGAGGTTTTTAAACATGGACACTGTATGTTCTTCAGTGAAAATATCTGAAATGGTGAATCCAGGTAAAACCACACTAGATTCCACATTAAATTTGGGACATAATATGTGAAAATCTTATGCCACATACGTGAGCAAAACCTTCCTGAAACAGGAGCTCTATCAGTATGAGAGCTCCATTTCTGAGTCATGGCAAAAACTGAGAGACCCATGTCTGAGCTAGTACTGTAACTGCTTGTGTGGAGTCCATCCCAGACAGTATTTTCCATCTCTCTTCAGCTTTTGGCTCTTAAGCAAAATTTGACTACAGTGAGTGACAGTAATGTCAATTGTTTACATGTAAGCATGTTCGGAGCTGCTTTGGAATGGAGGAAGCATTATATTAGTTGTGGGTGGCATTAATAAAATAAGCACATCCATTTCAAATCACTTTGAAACATAAAAGCAAAAAGTATTAATGTTTGCCAAATAAAGAAAAAACAGAAATTACAGAATTGCATTTTTTCAAGCTCCTAAGCAAAAATGGGATAATGTGTAAGAACTTAATTTGATCATCTGTTTTGTTATGCCAAATTGTGGTGAAAACAGGCATCCAGGCACAAGCCAAACCAACAGTTCTTATCTAAGCTGGCACCACTTCACTGACCCTAGCACAGCTCTACTGATTTGCAGCTGTGGAAAATCTGGCTGTGCTATTTGATGTTCTGCCTAAACAGCTTTAATCCTGGGGGCTGCAAATTTTGCTTTGTTCACTGCAAATTCAAGTGATTAACAACCCATGGCATCACCGCTCTCCCAACACTTCTGCAAGAACCGCCCACCCCTGCCCCAGCCGATTTACCTGCAGTGTGCACCCAAACACGCCGATCATCAGCATGGCCACAGAGAGATAGTCTGTGAACACATCCCACCAGGGCTTCAGCACCCTGAATGCCGGCTGCTGCTCTGAGAACTGGCGAAACTCGGTCACGGGAATCATCCTCCTGGAAAAAGAGCAAGGCCAGAGCTCAGCCTCCCACAGCCAGCACTCCCCGTCCACATGAGATAGCAAGAAAGTCCTTCTGCAAGGTTTGAAATCCATCCAGGACGTGATGTGGCAGCAGGTCCCTGGCTGCCTCCGACCTGGTCCTTCTGACACCCATCTCAATGTGTCCCATGGCGGCACTGAGGCCCTGTGTGTGCAGGGAGACAAACTAGTCCCATACAGCCTCCCACCCCCACCAGAGGGTTGACGCGGCCTCTGCGTCCCTCCAGCTCTACACTGGCTGTGATCTCAGATGCCTGGCTACAGCCTTACCCTGTGCTCACGTTTCACAGGCCTTTTTAGCTATTGTGTTTTGTTCACCTCTGTTGCCATTCATAGTGGTTTCTGAGATGTGCTGGAATATTTGTGCGCATACTCACCGCGGTTTTAAACCTACTATGTTTTGAGTGCAAGTTGCTAGAGCGCTTCAGCTAACCAGAACTGCGGGTGCTATGGGCAGATCAAGGGCTTTATCTTCACCTCAGATGTCTGGCTGACGTCACCAACTCCTCTGAAAAATCAGCCACCAGACAAGCATGCACGGGCAGAGACGCTGATACGAAAGCCTACAGCGTGTTGTGTAATGCATCCTTGAGATCAAACCAGCACTGAAACTCCCCAGTAAGTTATGATGGAAAGATAAATCCACATGGGAATGTAACAAAAATACTCCCAAGGACAATTAATGAGAAGTGCCCTTTGACTAATACCGTAAATGCTCACCACAGTCACCACCTATCACTGCCACATTTTAAGAGCTCACACTCCTGATTCAGCCGAACAGTGGAACCCACCAACATGGTTCAGGTGCCCAGCTCTCCCAGGGGCGGTCCTCAGGATGCACCATGCAGCATGGCCTCTACGCTTGATAGATTTCATTTGTAGTTTTAGGGGTTTTTGTTGTGCTATAGGATTGCTTTATTTCTTGTAAGCGATGTGTGTGGAATTTAGATGAAGGAGATTCTGGCAGTGCAAACACAAGCTGCTGTGATCCCTTGTCCCCTTCAGCGGTTGCTGCTTGCATAGTGCAGCTCCTCATTAGCACAGCACACACGCTGCTAGCCACCACCATGGTCCAAGCGCGGAGCCGCGTGCACAGCCCACCTACCCAAGTCCACCTACCAGGAGCTCTGCAGTCCCCCACCAGAACCTCTTTGCCACTTATATTGTTAAAAAAAGGACAAAGCTGCTACTCAACAATGGCATTACTGCTGCACGTAATCATGGTAAGTAAACTTACCAGTAGTGACAGGCTACGTTTTTAACTTGAGAAAAAGAGACATTCACAAGAAATGTTAAGTGAAGATCAACATGAAGAAGTAGGATAACTTCTTAAAGATTCTCCAGAGAAATGCTTCTTTTGCTGCAGCAGCAATAAAGGGAAAATGCTGGAAAGGTACACAGGAGCCTGGGCTTGCCAGGACTGCCACAGAGCACAACTTACTTCAGTTCACTCACATTCAAAATGCTACTTAATGGCAAAATACATGGCACCTGAGACACGGAATATGACTTGCATCAAATATCCTTCTAAGCCACCGTAGGAAATGTTGAGTTCTAAACACTGGACTGATTGCTGATTAAAATCAGAATTTACTGTTTTTTCTCTCTTGTATTTCCAACAGCCCTCCATCTCTACAGAAAAGAAAACTGCCCATGAGATAAACCACCTGGTGTTCTGCTACCAGAAGGAAGTCAAAAAGGAATTGCGTCAAAGAGCTGTACTGCCTTGTTCTGCAGTACTGCAGGGAAGAGACAGGTGGACAGCAACATGGTGATTAGTCATTTTTTGGTGATGATCTTTACTTCCAGAAAATAAAGAAGCGTCAATGAAGAAAAATGAATATGTAATAATAAGATAGAATGCTATAATCCAGGAAGATGTGCAAGGAATACCTGATCTCCACTGCAAAGGAAAATTAGGGTCAAATACAGTACCCTGAAGGGATGTGCAAACACTTGAAGATAATAAGCAAATACAGTTACTGCTAGAAGGGATGTGGAAAAGAACCAAAAAAAAAAAAAAAAAAAAAAAAGCCAAAACCACAAAAAACCCAGTCAGATCCAAACTCTTCACTGATGTAAACAGGAAGAGTTTCCAGCCAAATATCAGATAGTTAGTGCTGCAGAAATCTAACCGGAGCCATCAGCTGATGCATGGGCAATGAGCAGCACAGCACGATGACTTGATGTGACCTGAAATAGCTGAGGAGAATAAGGAGAATAAGTACGTCCGAGTGAGAAAGGAAAGTACTGGACACAAATTAGCCTTAATAAACAAGAGATTAAATCAGAGGATGACTCCAAAACGGCCATCCAGCAGAGCACCTCCCGAGCAATTGGGTTTCATCAGGGGAAATGCAGGGAGGAGGCAGGGACACACAGCACAGAACGCAAAGGAAATTAACTCATCAGCTGCCTAGTGTGGCAGCACTGGGAGCAGGGTGGGCACAGCAGCAGGAAGGGCCTTGTGCACATGGACTGCAGCCACTGTGCAGGGGCTGGGTGGGCAGGAGCTGATGGGGCAACCCACAGCAAGCCGGAGCTCTCCCTCCCTGGGCTGCCTCAGAGCACCTCGGGGAGACACCGCATCATTACACTCACAGAGCCCGTAGCACTCAGGGGTGTGCATCTCTGATATGACCCTGAATAAACGTGCTCTTGGCCCCTCACAGCTTCCGGGCCCCACGCTCTAGCACTGCTAAGTGACTGTTGCTATTTTTAAGCAGATTCTTTTGGAGCAGCTTAACTCGTTTTAGACAGCATACCTCTGAACGGATGCACTCCCACCACCAGCTGAAAGGACTGTGCTGCTGAACACAACGGCAAATGCTGGTGCTGGCTGCAGCCTGCACTCAAAGCTCCAGAGGCATGGCTTCTGTCAGGTATGGTGACTGAAAAAGGCACATGTAGTGAAACAGAGAGAACTGAAGTCCCTGCCTTCATTCCATCTCCTTCTGTAGGTCTGCCAGCACCAGCTCAGTACCAAGAGCCCAGTATGACACAGCGTGTTGGCCAAGGACCATTACCTGCTGTCCCCAGGCTGGTGATTGGCCCAACCCTGAAGGGAAAGACACCTCCTGGCAGGCAGCACTTGACATCGCCAGCCCAGCAGACCATGTCCTTGCACAGAGAGGCCCAAAGATGGGCCTACACCAGGCACAGCTGTGCAGCAGAAAGGTGGCAGCATGGCCAGTCACTGCTCTGTACATGGGTGACTGTGGTTTGGAAACGTTGTGGTTTCAGGTTTCAGGCTACAGGTGTTTGTCTCAAGAACTCAGGCCCTCTGCTACCTTACTCTTCCAGCAGTTACTCAGCTACATTGCCATGCACTGAAGGAACTTGCCATCATCCATCAGTTGTTTCAGGTTAACATCCACAGCCTTGCACCAGAAACAGGGTCCCTGGGTGCTGGACTGGCAATTAATAGCAAGAATTTATTTGTTCAGTAGGGGGAGGGCACAAATAACAGAACAGAGGGAGAAAGGAGGAGAAGCACTGCGGTAGGAGAGAGGTAAGGTTGCAGAAAAAGTGAAACTTCAAACTGGAAAGCACAAGAAGTTGGTGAGATCTCTTACGCCAACCAGAAAAGACATTTCAGTTATTCACCACTGGGACACATTTTAGTCCCTCAGAAGGCGAACCACACACCACCAAGCCCTGGAGCCAGTCTCAAGCCCTGGCAGCACTGTGCTGGGTGGAAAGGGCAGGGTGAGACTGAAGAACTTGCAACTGAGACTGTACAGCCCTGCACATAAGAGATCTATCAACAGGAGAAAGCATTGGGCTGGGCTAACCCAGCTCTCCTTGCTGATTTAAACATACTTCATGTGTTAGAATAAATTATGAAATGCCTTTTGGGAATACAGCTGCAAGTAGGTTTCTGGGCTAGTTCCCATACATGATTTATAGCATATTCATCTTCATTAAAGGAAGAGAGCACAGTGTACACTTAACAGAGGCTGCAGCAACTACACAAAGCAAGGAGTTCATGTCTTAGACTTGGTGACAGTGCCTTGCTGAGCCCCCAAATTTGGCTAGCAAGGCACGGGTGAAGCATTTCTTACTGCACTGTAAATAGCTGCCCACAGCTGGCTAATTTTAATTCATAATACTTGGAAACCATGGCTTTGCACATGTCCACTACAAGGGCTAAGCCTCGATTCCAGCATGTGCCCAGAGCTCCCTGCACTGCAGATAAACTTGCCCTGTTTCATCATCTAATTGGGAGGGGTTTCCAGGCTGGAAAACAGACAAGACTAAGAGGGAAATGAAATGTTCAGGGCTGGAATTAGCAACTCCTAAATCCTAAGGGTTTGACACTACACCCTTATCTGAGTTCTCACACACATGGTACGTGCAGTGGAATGGTGTCTGAACTCCCCGACATTTGCTGTTGGCAATTACTTTGCTGTATGTTTGCACTGACCGAAGTGTCCATCATTTGGTCTGATCCCATGTAGCACACAGCAGTATCTCTACTAGCAGCCACTCCCTACATAGGAGGCACTGCAGGAGGACAGTTTCCCCCACTAGACTCTACAGCTATTGGTGCTTCTGGAAAAATTAAACAAAACCTGTCATTTTTTCTTGTTGGGAAAATGACTTTAAAAGCTGGCTTTTTGGAAACACAGCAGAAAGGCCTTGCACATTGCCACTTCAAACACGGGCTACCCTGTATTCTGATGATCATAGCAGAAGTTTCCACAAGTAAGAAACACCATCATTTGGCAGAAATACAAACAAACGATGCTGTTGCTCAAACATAAAGCCCACATTGAGGAACTGGACAGTCATTAAAACCAATCCATTTGCATACAAACAAGTCATTCTTAAAAGACATGTGTTTAAGGTATTGTCAAACAAGCTACTTGAAATTTATCTTCTCGGGGCAGCAAGGAAATGTGTCCAGAAGCATGGACAGGCATGAGTCAGGGCTTCCAGGACTCGGCCAAGGGTTCTCTGCATGGCCCTGCCTCAGGAGCCCATCTGCAATAGGAAGGTGCCCGCTTCCCTCACCACTTGTGGTGGGGGATAGGAGCAAATAGTGCTACGAGGTCATAATACCACTTTTTTCTGATTCTCTGCAAATGATTGAGTTTGAATTGACAGCAAGCCAAAACTCCCCTTCAGAGCCATTGAAGCCAACTTGATGCCGGATGCAACCAGAGCTGCATTCAGACACAGTGCAGGCAGTGACTAAAGCCCAGCCAGCCCACGGGACCCCATGCCAACAGCTGCAGCCTGGTGCCCCTGCAGCCAGCAGCGACCTACCGGCTCTGCTGCAGTGCCCAGAGCCGCTCCCAGCCCTGAGCTCAGAGATGCGAGAGATGAACATAACGAGGAAGTGACTGTAATGAACTGCATGTCAAAAGTATATGCTGCAATTTCCACCTACGCATCCAGTAAGTGCCGCCTTGATGGCGGCATCCCAAACAATAACCTTGTTGTTTGTTTTAATTGAGCCACAGTCCTTTTTCATGCGTTCCACACCAAAAATACTTCCTATTGTCAGCAGCTCTTTGACTTCCACTTAGCTGGGCTGAAGACAAAAAAGTGTCCAGGGCCAGATTTTGCCAGATAAGATCTGCACGAAATCAATAGGAGCTCTATTGTACCACAGCATTCTATGATAGCACTGCACGGAGATTTGGCCTTGCTGAACTATTAGTCCAAATTCAAAGCAAAGTGAACACTACACATTCCATGTCAAAGACTACTGCAGAAGCACCACTCCCCACCTTTCAAGTTTAGGAATCATGACCCAAGTTTATCAGAGCTGTCACTCCAGCTGAGGGCTCTCTTTCCAGAGCTGCAAAATATTCTTAATGTGACTGCTAACCTTTAACAGCAAGCTCTATCACAAGCAAGAAACTACCCAGAAAGTGCTATTCTAGTACTGCAGAAATAGGTCCAAATGATCGAGTAAAGCAAAGCAGATCAAGCTTGAATCAAAGTTACACCAGCCTATCCAAAACACTTTGATACTCAGATAGATAGCAAAGACAGGAACAAAACTGTAGGACAGATAATATTACATGAACTAGTACCAGCCATTGCCAAAGGAATAGTGAGGGACTCCAGGCTAACACAAGCACTCATCATAAAAAGTGTTCAGCTGATATAATTAAAAATTAATTCCTAATTAGGACAGGAAGCACAAAGGCTCCATTCTGAGCCTAAGCAGCTCAACCAGCTGAAAAGTTAGTTAAAAACTTTTTATGCAGTGATTGAGCCAAAAACATTAAAGAAATGCAGCTTTCGTGATTTGTGAGGCTCCTTCACATAAAGGACCTTTTCTGCTTCTGCTCGCATGCTGCACAAGAGAGCTTTCTAAACTCTGCAACGGTCTCATAAAAAACGAATCCCCGAACGCCCTAATAAACACGTGAATATTCTCAGCCTGACACACTGCTGATGTGTTTTCCTGCCCCCAAACCATCTTTTGTGACAAAAATCCCCAACAATGAAAATATAGCTCATAGTCTTATCTGCGATCCTGAAAAAATGAAAAGCCTAACGCACAGAAATTCCAGCACATGAAGTGGATACAATCTACATGCGCTCAGAGATAAGCACGAACTGCTACAGAACCTGAATTTCTACTCATGCAGGAAGGCTTTTAAAGATTATAAACCTCAGAGATTTGGAAAACCAGAGCTATCTGCTAAATTGGTCAGATGTTTTCAGCTCCACATCCAGCCGTGGCCTGCTGAAGATGGAAGAGCTCAAAGCTTGCTCCATCAGAAAGGCCATGGCTGTTCCACAGAGCAGGAAGGCTGAGTTCATCAACAGCAAAGTCATTGCATGGCGCTCTGGCCATGTCATAGCAGGTGTGTATCTGTCAGATCACACTGTCATAGGTAAACGATGGCAAGGAGCAAATACTCTTTTTAGTCACATTACATTTTACAAAGATTTTTTCTGACAATATTGCATGTAAACACCCAGCCTGCTCTGTAAGCTTCAGACAGTGCTCTCTGAATACCGAAACTGCTTCCTTACAGCAGCCCCTGCTCCTGAGCCATTGCCACAGGGTGACACAAAGCACATGTGTCTCAGTACCTTGCCCCACTGCAGGGCAGGGCCAGGCTTGCGCTGTGCTCCGCTGCATGGCCCAGGGCAAGTGTGCAATCCAAGCTCCCATCTCAGCTCCAGGAGTGAGCAAATGAAATTGGAAGTGTTCTCAGAGGTTCGCAGCCTTATTGCTACCTTGCTGGGTTTTAGATTCCAACCCTTACAAAATCAATGATGTGCTGTTGCCATTGAAGGAAGATGCAAGGTCCCGTCTCACTGCTTTCAACAGGGCACCACTTAGTCCAGAATTTGAAGCTGGTAGACAAGGCTGGATGCTGCCTGTCTGGGAGTCAATGGAAATGTAAAAGTTCACCTCAACAGAGAGAAGTACATCCTGAGCACTGCCCTGTGGAGCAAGCTGTGCCGTATCATCTGTGCCAGCCCAGGCCCCAGTTCTCCACTTTGGGAGATGAAAACAGTCAACACAACTTCCATGGTGTCAAAAAACACAGAAAAAAACCATCCCTATCGAAGCTCAGGACTCTCCACATGATGCCGTTACAAGTCCTGCTCTGCACCAGCTGAGCCCCTCAAGTGAGGCTCTGACTCAGGAAGCTGAGCCAGGGGCTGCTGGGCCCCATGCTGCTCCGCTGCTTCACTGCAGGGCCGGGAGGTGACAACGTGGCCCTATGCCACAGCCAGCAGCTACAGGCAGGTGAGGTGGCACAGCCACATCTGCATGAGATGAAGCACACCTCCCATTATGCCCAGATGCACCATCTCTGGAGTTTGCACCACACCAGTCACACACAATCCCTGAGCACATTACTTGGAGGTGAGACAGGAGTTTCTGGCATTCTAAACATGTGAAATCCAACACTTCTCAACATTCTGATAAATCATTTTGGAGGGAAAATGGCTTCTTTGCTTTACTACATGAGGTTTTTTGGGGAAGTATTTGGGGACTCTTCTCTTTTTTTCTGAGTGTAGAATGTTTCCTCTTCAGGCACTTCCACACCCCTTCCCTGCCTCACACAGCACCGTGGCAGCCAGGAGGAGACTTCCCTCTGGGTTTTCCCAAAGGGAGAAAAAAACCTGTACAATTAAACCCAAGCTCCTGACGTTGTGAATTGTTTGGAGTACCATCAGAGATTTTCTGCTTCCTGCAGCATTGAAAGAGTTGGGCTGGGAAATGAATAGCGGCCACTTGAATCAGTGCAAGCGGAGGTCAGCAAACAATTGCGGGAATTGCTCCTTGGCTTATGCCGTCACGGGGCCGCACCGTGCTGCCGCTTGGGCACAGGGCTGGTGCAACATCGCTCCCGTGGCAGCATCTCTGGGCAGGCAGTGGAGCTGTGGGGAGCAGCCAGCAGGCACCAAAATCCAGCTCCAGGCAGAGCCCAGCACCACAGCACAGAGCTCCAGAGAGGAGTTCAAGAACCTCCAGTGCTTCTCTTCACTGGCATCAGCACCAGCCACGTCCAGAGCTGGACATGTAGTCGCTAGGCTTATAGGCTTTCCATCCTTTTAAAAACTTATTCCAAAGGTAAATAATAATTAAAAAAAAAAAAAAAAAAAAAGGAGATGGAACGTTATATTACTTTAAAACCATCAATGGGGCCTGTTAGCATCCAGACTGGAAGAAAACAGCATCATGGCTGCCACACATTTTAGCAAACTCAGAGTGCAACGAGAAAGGAAATGATTCAGAAACCACAGGTGCTTTGCACCGCAGGCTGGGCACAGCGAGGGCCTGGAGCCCAGGCCGGCTGGGACGAGGAACCGCTCACACCGCGCTCAGCCCCCAACCCACAGTGCGGCCACACGGGGCTTCCGGGGAAGGACAGGCCGGGGGGAGCGCTGCCCTGCGGCCACTGCCCGCGCCAGAAGGAAAAGCAAAAGCAGCTCTGAAACATCGCGGGGTGGGAGGAAGCACGGCCGCTCATCGGGATCGGGCAGGCATTCCTACCTCATCTCCCACGCCGCGCCTTTTCCCTACCACCACCTCGCAGAGCGCCTTTCTGCCTCCTCGGGGTTACTTTACAGCATCATCAGCCCTACTGAGCTCCATGGGAGCAAATGCAGACACGTGCGTGCTCACACAGCCGCTCACGAACACTACATCTTTCTTTAAAGGCAGTACTTACTCCTGAAGTAAAAAATGAAAAAAAGCAATCCACAACTCACACGCTTAGCACCGGCAGTAAAATCCTTCACCTTTAAACACCTCCATCCTAACGCAACTGCAGCAGATGCATTCGGCAGCTTTCTATCACCCCCGTTTCTCTGGGCCAACCGCTCTGAGCAGCACCGAGGAGCACCGAGGAGCACCTCCCGCCCCGCTCTGCATCCAGGCCGGGCCAGCCCCGCGCTCCCGGCACCGCGCACACAGAGAGCCCGGAGGCTCGGCACGACACGGCACGGCGGGCTGAGCGTTCCGGGCTCTCCGCGGCGCGGCGGTTGCGGGAATAAAGCAACGCGAGCTCCGCGGCACCGCGCCTGGCTCTTTGCCGGGCACCCCGCGGCCGCCCGACCGTCGGGGCCCCGCCCGACCGGGGCAGCCCCTCCGGGAGAGAAGCGGGGCCACCGCGGGGCTCCGCTCCCGGCGGTACCTCGCCGCGGGCTTACCGCTGCCGCCCCTCCGCAGCGCCGGGCCCCGCGCGGCCCCGTGCCCGAGCCCCGTCCTACCTGCTGCGCGTTCGGCGGGCTCACGGGCGGCGGCCGAGCAGCGGCGCGATCATGCCGCGGAGCGGAGCGGGGCCGAGCGCGGCGGGCAGGGCCGGGCCGGGAGGGGCCGGGAGGGGCGGGGAGGCCGCCGGCAACCGCGCTCCGCCCCCCCGCTGCCGCCGCCGGGCCACGTCTCTCGCCTGACGCAGGCGGCGGGGTCGGGGGCGCGGGCTGAGCGGTCTCTGCTGACGGAGGAGCTCCGGGCGCTCCGCCCCGCGGGCCGAGCCGGGGGCCGCTGCCCGTAACGGCAGCCGAGGCCTCGGGGACCGCGGCATCGCCGCCGGGAGCTGCCGCGGGTGGGGGACGTCCTTTTCCTGAAGCGCGATGCGGCGAGCGGACTGCGGAGAGAGGGCTGCGCCGCGGCTGGCATCGCCTTAACCGCAGGAAAGAGCCTCGGAGAGCGACAATTGGAAACACAAACTTCCAGCCTAGCGATTCAGAACGCGCAGACCGAAAAGCGCTGCTGAAAGGAGAAGCGTGCTCTAAGGGACTTCTGTCCAACGTTTCCAAGAAAGATTTACATCTCCGGCGGAACTGAGACGGGACGGAGCGCGCCGAGGGGAGGCACTCGTCCTCTGTGGCCGCCCCCGGCCTTGGGGACAGCCCGCGTGATCCCCGAGGGACGGCACAGCTATGTAAACACGGAGAAGCACAAATACATAAACCCCGTAGGGGGGAGTTAATGGAAACAAACAGGACGTGAGGCCCCGCAGCTGCCCGCCCGCACAGCGCTCCCTGGGCCGGGATGGGGAGCGCAGCGCTGGGGGCTTCTCCTGCTTCGTGTGCCTCCCTCCCTTCGCCGGCTGCTGGGGCTGCGGACCGGGCGCAGGGCGCTGTTCCGGAGCGCGGATCCGCCGGGCGGCACAGCAGCTGTCGCTTCGCGCGTCGCCCGCCCCAAGCACGGAGCCACCTGGCTCGGCCGGGCCTCCCCCCCGTCGCGTTTTTTGCAGGGACCTCGAGGCCGCAGCAGGCCGAGCGCTGAGCGACCGCTGGCGCAGTTCCGTCCCTGCGGAGCCGCCAGCCTGAAAGATTCCTGCAGCGTTTCACCAGTACACGGTGTCACGGTTACCCCCACACGTAAGGGGGATGTGTCAGAAGATTAAAACGGGACAAACGAGCAAGGTTTCCATCTGGGTTTCGTTTCTGAGCTAAAGAAGCCGTTACCATGACTGCAGCATTCATTTTATTAGTTTCTTTCCATTACTCCTAACTCCTGGCAGCAGCTTAGAGAATCCCTCCCTGGCCTGGATGGTTTCTTCTCTCTGCTCACCCTGCCGTCATCGCTGAGCTCATTTAATCTTTCCTCATCAGTCAGTCCCTCCTGTTCCCTTAATCACACTGCTGCCTTTCCTTCAGCTCCCTCGCAGTTGCTCATTTATATGATGGTGGCATGGTAGGCAGTAATTCTGCCATTGTTAACTTTTCTTGTTGCGGACTTTGGGGTTATTTTTGTTCGGAGTAGCTGCTGTGTGGTGAGGGCTGTGCAAAACCCCAACACCTCACAGGAAAGGCAGTGTGCCCAGGTAACGATGGCCAGAAGACAGAGGCTCAGGGCAGCGCTGCTCTGTTGGCTGCTGTTGGGAGGAAACCCACAACTCACACCTGAAATTAAACACACAACTGCAGCTCCAAGAACTTAATCAGAAGCATGGTACAAAAAAAAAAAAAAAGAAAAAGAAAAAAAAAAGTACAACTTATTTGAAAAATTGCCAGAGGTGTTATTGCTTGCTACCATGTGCTGCCTTGCGGTATTTACGCTACAGCAAGACAGCTGCAGCACTGCTTTGTTAGCAGCAGGGGACACTGGGCAGCCAGAACTCACCCACCCAAGGGCCAACTCCTTGCTGGGACCTAGGGTTGAGATGCACAGTCCTGAAGCCATTGCTTACCACCAGCACAGCATCTACCAGAATACAACCCCAAATCTTTAAATCCTACTCAAAGACTCACTCTGTGCTTAAGAGCCTTGGGTCCCAAGAGCAGCCCTCAAACTGGGAGCAAAGGGACATTGCTGCTTGGAGCCTGGCAGAACCACTCCTGAAGCTGAGCTGGGCAAGAAAACCACAGCTTGAATGCAAGAGCTTGGACTGTTCTTGGAAACAGACGCACAATGGAAATGCTTTCCATCAGTCATCTCCTCCCAGCAACTGTTGAAAACAGCATAATCTGCTAACACAGAAAAGCTAAATTGCTTTCAGACGAAGTACTGAGAAACTACTTCTGTGACTTGATTTAACTCACGTCTGAACTGCGTACTGTGATAGCTCCAGCACTTCTCAGATGCTTGAAGTTTCTGTCACAGCTCATCTTTTCCCTGGTTTACATTTCTCCAGATTTACATTTTAACCCCTTGTCACAGCAGTGTTTTTAAAACATGACTTTGGATATAGCAGATGTTTAAACAATAGCAGCGTGCTGAGAATACTTTCAAAATGACTTGCATGGATGCTATGGGCTGAATCAAGATAGGAGAAGCAAAGCTTCAGAACAAGGTGAAGATTAAGCTGTCATTTCCTAATCCCGCAACATTTTTTATGTATTAAAAACTGCTTTAATCAGAAGGTAAACAATGAAATCATTTTTCATCTCCTGAGCTCTTTTGTTGCTCCCAAGTAAAGAGGAGCCACGTTCCGTACTTCTGATTACAATGAAAACAGTACCATTACACCAGGGAAGAATTTGGTCTGACTAGTTCTCTGTGGAATAGCTATTGACAGCACTCCTCACGTACCTTGTATTGTTGAGAAAACAGAGAGCTAACGTTTCGCCAAAAGACACAGGGCTAACTCCCTCTTCCTGACCTCTGGCTGAACTGGAGCTCCTGGATGTGAGTGACACTTTCCTTCTGTATCCCTTCTGATGGCTGGGCTTCCTTCAGCAGTGTGCCTGCAGGCCTAACCAGTGAGCTGCACCACTACACGCAGACCTGACTGCAGCTCCCAGCCGTGCACTCCACAGGACATGACGTCTTGTCATCCAGTTTTAGATGCGAGGCACTCCGTGGGGGTGGCTCATACAAGGCAGGAGTGATGGAGCTCAGCAACCAGAGCTCGCTGCAAGCACTGTATGTAATTGCTAAACACCGCTTTCCAAATAACAGTTTATTACGACCAGTGCATCTTCTTTGGTGTGACTGAACAAACAAGCAACAGTATGGACATCTGTAGGAGGATTTCAAAGACGACGCAGCTCCACGCTTGCAGCCCTCACACTGCTGCCTCCTAGTCCCCCCAGCTCTGCCGCCTCTGAGGTTCTCTGCTGAATGGCCATGCTTGGTCTTGCACACAGGCCTTTTCTCCTGCATGGGCATTACCTCTTACCCTCAGTCCAGCACTGGGATGGCTTAATCTAAGTGATGGTTTTTTTCTTACACTTAGTTTTCCCAGCACTCCTCTACCCCTCACACAGGCATGGCTGTGGTGCTCAGAGCCAGCTGAACTAATGCAGAGAACCCATACATTAACACAAAGCAGCTCTACTCCGAGGGGAGTGTCTGTTTGTCAGAGCAGTGAAGTACCCTGACTGGTAACGTGGTTATGAAGCTGTATGAGACTGAATCACTGCTTACATGGCTTGCTCCCCGGGTTACATCATGGTAAGAGATAACAGACTCAGCTGTGGTCCACTTTGCATCATGCTTCGTTGTTTCAGAGGATCCCAGTTTTTTCTTGTCATTACATCTCAGCTTGCAGTTTCTTCTACTCTTACACCAATAAATTCCACTGGGAAATTATTCTTTTCTCCACTCTCTTTCAACAGTTATTTGCAGATCATTTACTGCTAGCAAAACTGTGTCAATAAATCAAATGAAAAACAAGCAGCTCATTCTCAGTGAAAATATCTTTTTACACATCAAGTGTTTGTAAAACAGGCCCCTAACTTTTGTTATATTTTAAAAGTGATCTGAAAATTAAAAAAAAAGTTTGTTAATTATCTGGAATTTTCAATTTCCTATTCTGCACAGGAACCTAAGCAATCAGACACATGATATGCTCATTAGCCAGGAAAGGGTCAGGATTAGAATAGGTCCTCAAAATTAGAAAGTACTAAAACACAGCAGTGATCTTGGCTGCCTAAACTTAAAATAAAATGTTTTGTGTTAATTGCTGGAACAGATCAACATTGAGAAATACCAAACCACTGAATGACTCTGAAACGTGGTGCCTGGCAGGAGAGAGGAGGACAGGACCCTCATGGATAGGGTATGAGCTACCAATTTACCTGCAAAGATAATTATCTGATACAATCATAGTTGATAAGGAACAAAAAGCAAAGTGTTGTTTGGTAGCACCTCTGGGATCTCAGAAGCTCTAAGAGCTGTGGGACTCTTGATGCAGAAGTGTTTCATCAGATGAAAGTAATCGTGTTTTGAATTTGTAGTACTAAGCATCACTGAGATATTACACACTAAAATTACGATCTCGTCTGATTTCCACACCCAGTGTGAAACTACAGCTTGCAAGGCATCCTGTTGCAAGAGGAAATACAGCAGAATGGAAAATCTTCACATCATCCTAGCTTAGTGCTATTATCATTCTTCAAATCAGTACTGTAATGACAGAAAACAGGTCCCAACATTCTCCTTAGCATCATTAGACTAAACTCTTGCACCTGATGAGCAGACATTTTAGGCTTACACGTGTGTGACACAGGTCCAGATCAATACTACTTCCAGCAGGGGAAGTCAGCATACATCCTGTGCTGTGCTTCATATGAAACCTCATCATCTGACATTTGCTTATGTGGAATGCTTCTGAGCCCATTGCCATTATTTATGTTCAGACTTGCCCATGGTTAAAAGATTCTTTCAGTCACGTGTATTAGCCTTGCACTTTATTACAAATCAATTTGATTCCAACTCTGGGAAGAAAAATGCCAAAAATATAAGTTTAAGTTCACAATTTCAGCTCTGGCTACTTCATACTAATTTAGCAGGGAAGCAATCCAAAAGACAGCATACTTCACTGATGCAGCACTTCTTTGCTGCAAAAGCCCCAATGGACAGGGTCCCTGAAGAAGCCGTGAG